GACAGCTAGCTGGAATGACAGGTAAGTGAATGGCCAGCGTCACCAGGTAAATAGATAAGAATATTTCAGGCGATGACCAGCTGCTGTCCAGGCAGCAGGTAGCGCAACAGCAGGCAGGCAGCACGCCACGCGCCGCACAAAGTGATGAGTGTCTTTCTGGAGCTCCTAAACTTATCATTAGATGTGAGACGTGTCCGTACGTTTATTTACCCGAAACATACTTCGTTCTAACCACTATTAACCACCGGATTAATGCTGTATCGTTCAAAACCGTACTCGAATTGTCTGAACCATCAGTGCCGGACCTGATACTTCGGCTCGGCAACACATTTGATTCTGCCGCGCAAATTCCATGGACCCTTGAAAGCCTAGGGGGAGAGGGGAGGGAAGATGGCGCACAGCGCACAGGAGACGGTTGGCGGAGTGGATTCAACAGTTGAACTGGCCCGAGCGGCTGAGCTCATCAAAGCTCAAAGACCGTTCCCAATTCGTAGTAACAGATTTCACAAATCGCAAAACGTCGTCGCATCTGTAAGAGTGCCCAATCACTGAGGGTCCCTTGCCTGGCGACTGACGAGACGACGCTCTGCGATTCATGGCTTACCATACCAGATCAAGCTTAGATTGACGGAGGGCACGTTCTGAAAGAATCAGTAATGCAACGGCGTCACCAGAGCTGTTCGAGTTCTCGTCATTCGAACCTGAATACAAGTGATGCAAATAGCTTCCCTGCGAAAAACAAAACCTACGTTACGAGACTCCTCTGAAGCAATGAAACGGAGCTTACGACCCAGGGATTCATCACAAATCCAGATTCTAGGAGATTCCAACTTACCTCCCTAGCCAGCCATGCATGCACCCATCCAAAACTTCTTCCATTCCAATCTGCACGCACCTCTCTATACCATTTTTCATCCGTTCCGCTCTCCGTTCACGCCTGCGTGCCGTACCACCGACCGCCAGTAATCTATTTCCATACATCGCCAACCTCATTCCGATCTCACTCCACCTGAGCCAGCCGTTTGAATGTCTGCAGCCCGCATCCAGCGGATAGCTCCGGGGATTAAATCCCTCTTCCGCGCCTCCCCCGCCGAGACTAGCTATTCCAGACTCCACCAATCGTGCTATCTAGCCGCTAGTGTGGGTTTCAGCCCCTTTTCGTGTCGCCCTTCATCTGGCGCGTCGCCCGCGCTTTCCGAAAGACCAGCCGCCTCGTCGCCGCTTACCGAAAGCCGCACCGTGGTTGCCGGAGTCGTCCATCAGTCCTCGCGACATAAATCGAACCGTTCATTCTCTGAGCCCTTGCATTTCTGTTGCAGCTCGACACGACTCGCGCTGCTCCCCTTTGCAAAGCGTCCCCGCGTCTCAAGCCGTCGTTTCCGCGTGCACGCGAAGCTTCGCGGCAGCTGCGGCGTTCGGAATGGCGGCGCCTAAAGAGATCTCGTCCAATAAGATGTTCGGCGGCGTGAACAAGCGCTACGAGCACGAGAGCGCGACTCTCGGGTGCACCATGAAATTCTCCATCTACTTCCCGCCCGCCGCCACCTCCTCGCGCGTCCCGGTACAAATAAGCCTATAGAACTCTCACCTCGTTGCGCTTGTTTCGTCCACATCTCGGCCTGTCGCCTCGTGCGTTGTCCCCACACACCCCTTCCCTTAGCCCTCGCAGGTGATCTACTGGCTCTCGGGTCTCACCTGCACGGACGAGAACTTCATTCAAAAGTCGTTCGCGCAGAAATACGCCTCAGAGCACGGGGTTGCTCTCATTGTGCCTCACACATTCGCACAGGTTTGACCTCACTGTGCCTTGAGGCGTCTGTCCCCACGTTCGTTGCCCCGCACACCCCTTCCGCCGTCTTGTCTCCCTCCCCCGGCAGGTGATCTACTGGCTCTCGGGTCTCACCTGCACGGACGAGAACTTCATTCAAAAGTCGTTCGCGCAGAAATACGCCTCAGAGCACGGGGTCGCCCTCATTGTTCCCAGACACCTCGCCCCGTAAGCTTCCCCACCCACCCCCTTCTCCCCACCCATCTCTCTGCACGCGCCGGCCTGGCAATGCGCGCAAGCCTGCCTCAGAGCACGGGGTCGGCCTCATTGTCCCCGACATCTCGCCCCGTAAGCTGCCCCATCCTCCCCCTGAAGCTGCCGTGCAAGCTCCCTCTCCTTCTCACAGCACCTTCCCTGCGGGCCCAAGCCGGCCTCAGAGCACGGGGTCGCGCTCATTGTCCCCGACACCTCGCCCCGTAAGCTGCATTACCTTTCTCTTAAGCTGCATTTCCCTAAGTACGCGAATGCCCTTTTCGAGGGTAAAACTGGAACTGTTGTTGAATATATGGCCTTCAATCAGTGAAGTCAGACTCCCAGAGAATGCCCAAGCCCAATACACCTTAATATGCTTTCGTTACTGGTGCTACGCCTATGGCATTTTAATGCCTTCTTCGCCGCTTGTTTTCGCATTTTTCTTTCCCTGCTCAGGTGGGTTGAAGGTGGAAGGAGAGTCAGACAATTGGGATTTCGGAGTGGGTGCCGGCTTTTATGTAAACGCCACGGTTCCCAAGTGGAAGAACTGGCAGATGTACGACTATGTGACTGAGGAGACCCTCTCCTCCTATGTGACTGAGGAGACCCTCTCCTCCTATGTGACTGAGGAGCTCCACCGAATTTTGGAGTCGACTCAAAGGCAGTCAAAGAAACGTATCAATACACCTAAACCTGCTTCCTTGTCCGGTGCTACTCCTGTCCTTTTTGCTGTTTTCTTTCCCTACGCAGGCGGGTTGAAGGTGGAAGGGGAATCGGACAACTGGGATTTTGGTGTAGGTGCTGGCTTTTATGTAAACGCCACAGTGCCCAAGTGGAAGAACTGGCAGATGTACGACTATGTGACTGAGGAGCTCCACCGGATTTTGTCCGCTCACTACACTAATCTGGACATGCAGCGGTGCAGCTTAATGGGTCACTCTATGGGGGGACACGGCGCGCTGATTATCTTCTTCAGAAATTCCACCAAGTATAAGGCGAGTGTTTCTGTTTGAAGTTACTGAGTAAAGTGGATTTGGATGCAGCAGTGCAGCTTAATGGTTCACTCCATAACGAGTCATCCGCTGCTAACTATCTCCTATTTTCAGAAGTCCCACTCGGGGAGCCTTAAGGTCTTCGCTCACTGCCCTCGTCCCACTACTGAGAAGTCTCCAAAGTGCCTTTCTAAGCGGCCTATCTGTTTTCCCTGTTCCCCACTTCCCCTCCAATCCGTGTCCGCATTCGCTCCCATCTGCAACCCCACGGAGTGCCCCTGGGGGCAGAAGGCTTTCTCTTGCTGCCTTCTTTTCACCTTCCACGCTGAACGCCCCATTTCCCCTGTTTCCCCCGTGTTTCCCCCTCCTCCCCCTTTTCTCACTTCCCCTCCAGTCCGTGTCCGCATTCGCCCCCATCTGCAACCCCACGGAGTGCCCCTGGGGGCAGAAGGCCTTCACGGGGTATTTGGGGGACGATAAGGCAGCCTGGGAGGTGAGTCGAGTCGGTTGGGAGTGGTTGGGCTGGGCTGGGCTGCAATCCCACTGAGTAAGGGGAAATACAGCTCAGCCTGGGGGCAGAAGGCCTTCTCAGGGTACTTGGGAGAGGACAGAGCAGCCTGGGAGGTGAGCCCAATGGGTTGGGTTGGGTTGGGCGGTTTTCCATTCAACTTAATGATCACCTTTTCAGGGTATTTGTGCGAGGACAGAGCAGTCTTGGAAGTGAGGCGGATAAGAGTGGGTGGGCGGCTCATAAGCTCACACGTGATAAAAAGTTGAGTTTTGAGACGTCTCAAAACTCGACTTTTATCACTTGAAATCACATTTCGATGAAACTCTTGGGAGAGGACAGAGGAGCCTGGGGGGTGAGCTGGCTGGATTTGGTTGCTGAGTTGGAAGGTGGTTGGGCTGGGTTGGGTTGATAAGTTGTCACATGGTTGGGAGGGAATTAGAGCGGGAGTGACCTACTTGCGTCTTCCTACTTCCCTCTCATCACTTCTCCCTCATCTCGTCCGCTCATATCTTCCCCCTTATCCCCGTCCACGTACTCCACGTACGTCCACGTGAAGCAGTAATCCAGGGCTTCCACATGTACTCGCTGTCTCCCCCCTCACTCGTCCCCTCATTGACTTCCCCTCCCTCGTCCCTCATTGACTCCCCTCATTGACTCCCCTCATTGACTCCCCTCATTGACTCCCCTCATTGACTCCCCTCATTGACTCCCCTCATTGACTCCCCTCATTGACTCCCCTCATTGACTCCCCTCATTGACTCCCCTCATTGACTCCCCTCATTGACTCCCCTCCCTCGTCCCCATCATTGACTCCCCTCATTGACTCCCCTCATTGACTCCCCTCATTGACATCCCCTCATTGACTCCCCTCATTGACTCCCCTCATTGACTCCCCTCATTGACTCCCCTCATTGACTCCCCTCATTGACTCCCCTCATTGACTCCCCTCATTGACTCCCCTCATTGACTCCCCTCATTGACTCCCCTCATTGCACTCCCTCATTGACTCCCCTCATTGACTCCCCTCATTGACTCCCCTCATTGACTCCCCTCATTGACTCCCTCATTGACTCCCCTCATTGACTCCCCTCATTGACTCCCCTCATTGACTCCCCTCATTGACTCCCCTCATTGACTCCCCTCATTGACTCCCCTCATTGACTCCCCCCATCCACCCTCTACCCCTCTCAGGAGTATGACGCCACAGCGCTCGGGAAGCAGTGCCCAGGGCTTCCACATGCCTTTTAAGGCGCCTCAAAAGTCGCTCGGGAAGCAGTGAAGCAGTGAATTAGTACCCAGGGCTTCCACATGCACTCGCTCTCGGCCCCCTCCCTCACCCCTCTCCACTCCCTTCATCCGCCCCCCTTCCCCTGCACGCCTGCCCCGCCCTCTCAGGAGTATGATGCCACAGCGCTCGTGAAGCAGTACCCAGGGCTTCCCTGTCAACTATATTGGTGCGACTTTTTAGAATTCTCAAAAGTCGCACCAACAGGGCTTCCCTGTCAACTCGGCACTCTCCCCCTTCCCTCGTCCAGCATCTCAGCTCTCTCCTCCTCGTCCTCATCCCTTCCCCTGCACGCCTGCCCCTCTCAGGAGTATGACGCCACAGCGCTCGTGAACCAGTACCCAGGGCCAAAGGTTGACATTCTCATCGACCAGGTACGTTCAGTTCATGACCACGCACAGAACCCGCGATCAACGTTCAGTTCATAACCCAGTCTTTTAGTTGCGCCCGTCCCAGTACCCGCGCAACGCAGAGCCCAAGGTCAGCATCAATATTGACCAGGTAGGCACGTACAAAACACAGTCTTGTAGTACGTCTTTTGAGGCGCCTCAAAAGGCATCAATATTGACCAGGTAGGCACGTACAAAACACAGTCTTGTAGTACGTCTTTTGAGGCGCCTCAAAAGGCATCAATATTGACCAGGTAGGCATGTACAAAACACAGTCTTGTAGTACGTGCACAACACAGACCAGGTTGGGCACAACACAGTCTGCAAGTAGAACCGGCACAGCACTCGCGAAGCGAAGCAGCACCCAGGGCACGAGGCAGGCGTTCTTATCGACCAGGTATGGAATGTAAAGCCCCCAATCCGTAGCTTCAGGTCCTCCTCAGGTTTGTTCCTTGGAAACGAGGCCTCTCATGAGTATGACCCCACAGCACTCGCGAAGCAGCACCCAGGGTCCAAGGCAGACATTCTTTGTCGACCAGGAAATTGCGGAGCCCAGACATCAAGTTGTGTCTGCAGTCAGTCAGACCCGGAAGCCACAGCACCTGTGAATCAGTTCCAACATTCTAATGCGCAAGTTCTTATAGACCAAGTTGACCAGGTAACATAGCCTCCTCAGGCTTTAAGGCTCAGATCTGAGCTTCCTCTCTCTGTCCCTTTTGAGGCCCCTAAAAAAAAAAAAAAAAAAAAAAAAAAAAAACCGCAAGCTCAAGGCTCTATTCGTAACTTCCTCCCACTCTCTCCCTCTCCCCCTCCCACTTTCCACCTCCTCACTGCCGTTGCAGGGTGACAGTAGCAAGTTCTATCACGAGAAGCAGCTGCTGTCCGGAGGGCGTGTGATTATATTCTAGACCCCCTAAATCCCATGAAAAAACATCTCTTGTCGGTTCACTTCCTGCAAGGCGATAGTGACAAGTTCCATCACGAGAAGGAGCTGCTGTCCGGAGGACATGGGGTTTTTTTTCTAGACCCCCTAAATCCCTTAAAAAACATCTCTTGTTGGTTCACTTCCTACAAGTTCCATCACGAGAAGGAGCTGCTGCCGGGAGAATTTCCAGAGCGGCTTGCTGTAAGAGACTATTGAGTCGACTCAAAAGTCAGCTGCTGCCGGGAGAATTTCCAGAGCGGCTTGCTGTAAGAGAGCACTTCATCCATCAATCTCTTCTTTCTTTTCTTCTTTCTTTTTCTCTTTCGTTTTTCCACGTTTGCAGGGCGACAGCGACAAGTTCGACCACGAGAAGCATCTGCTGCCGGAGGTGGTGTGGTCTGTTCTGAAGCATCATAATTCAATGTCTCTCCCCTCAACCCCCTCAACTCTTCTCTTGTTGTTTCACCCCTGCAGGGCGACAGCGACAAGTTCGACCACGAGAAGCAGCTGCTGCCGGAGAACTTCCAAAAGGCTCGCACGGAGGCATCGTGAACGACCACTTTCCCCATTGATCTCAATCCCCCCTCCTCGAATTCTCTTCTGTTTTTTTCATGTTCACTCCCTGCAGGGCGACAGTGACAAGTTCTACCACGAGAAGCAGCTGCTGCCGGAGAATTTCCAAAAGGCGTGCACGGAGGCAGGCGTGCCGCTGACGCTGCGCTTCCAGGGAGGCTACGACCACTCCTACTTCTTCATTGCTTCGTTTATTGGTGACCATATTAAGCACCACGCCAAGGCTCTAAAGGCTTGAAGATATATCTGGAAGGGTCGGAGGCAGGGATGCCACCGAGGCTGCGCTTCCAGGGAGGCTACAATCACTCGTACTTCTTCATTGCATCGTTTATTGGTGACCACATCAAGCACCATGCCAAGGCTCTGAAGGCGTGATCGAAGCTTTGGCAGAGTGCTAAGGCTGTACCGTGTGCTTCCAAGGGGGCTACAACCACTTGTATTTCTTCATTGCATCCTCATTGGCAACCTCATTGCATCATCATTGGCAACCTCATTGCATCATCATTGGCAACCTCATTGCATCTTTTTTGGCAACCTCATCAAGCACCATGCCAAGGCCCTCAAGGCGCATGCTGAGGCGAGTGATATATACATCAATGCTTACAACAATCGTTTAGACTACGTTTTGTGTTCATGCATCAAGCGCTCCATCTAAGCGCTCCATCGTTTTTACCTCCACTATCAAAGTCTAGTCATGATTCTGAAACAAAGGAGGACCGTACTGTACTGCTCAGCGACGTTCTGTCTGCAGGACACACCTCTCTTGGGCTGGTTCTGACATATCAGACAACCAAGCCCACTATCACCGACAACACCCGCAGTTTGGTGAAGGCGCCCCAGCTTGGGCTCTTCAAACGAGTCCGCTGGATTATAACGGGGTTAAATTTGAATTCACGTACGGTTTGGTTTGGTGCGTTGCGGTCCGAGGAGGCAGCGAGCACGAACCGTGTTCTACCGTGTGCGAACCTGTTGAACCGATTACTACTATCGGAGAGGAAACTTGAAGGGACACGCACCTAGCATCTCGCCTCTCCTCGCCTTGCCAGCCATGGCTGATGCCAGGCTATTCCTCCTAGAGAATACCACCACCAACCCAATGAACATCGCGTCGCGTGGAGCCTGAATTCAATGGCCATCGTCGTCGTGACTCGCGAGTCGTGGCTGCAACGGCCACCAGCAGATCAGAACGCTATGCTCCCTGCCGATATGGGCATGTGCTGATTAGTCATGCCGATATGACTTGCTGCTATTTGCCGTTTGCCTCTGTGCCGGGCAAAATTTAATATATTGGTATTTATTTTATTCCGAAAGTTCTTCATGGAAGTTGTTGAAGCTCATGACTCGAAGGCGTCTTGGCTATCGTTTGTGACTTTGCTAGCGTTATTCGCGTTAGTGGTAGTTCCGTTGCTACTCTTCACCGTACTCGTGAACTCATACACGATATATGCTGACGCACCAGGCATCCACGTTCGGCCCGGCCATTTTTCTGCGAACGAACAGGGTAAATCATATGCTGACGTGGCTGCGAGTCGGGAGAAATGCCAGGTTCCAGAAAATCATTTGGTAGAATCCGATCCAATTTGCTGGTGGTCTGGGGACCATGGCGGGTATGGTAGCGACTCGTCGGGAACCAACAACGACACGATCGAGTCGATTAGCGGCGGACCGCATCAGAACGACTCAACGACGCAGGGCGCTCATGACAAGGCAATCGAGGAGGAACGAATCTGGAGGAAGAGAAAGGAGGGCGTTTTTGATTTTCGGCGGGGGTTGCTCCCGCTGCACGGTGGGCGAGCTATGCGCCTTCGAGATTGCCGTCCGATCGCCCGCGAAATGGGTCGCGCGACCAAGGGGTTTCGCCGCCAGCTACAGTGGTAGCGGCTCCAGCAGTAGTGGCGACAGCAGCAGTCGTAGCGACAGCAGCAGTGGTAGCGCTACGGGTAGTGGCAGTAGCGAGAGGTTTAGGGTCGGGGACAGGCGGATGGGCGTGGGTGGGCTGCAAGAGTCGCTGGTGGTGAGGCTGATGGGACCTGCGTTGGCTGTAGCGGATGTGACTACAGAGGAGGGTGACGTCACGCGATGGCGAGTCACGTACCGCGTGTGGGACGCTGGTAACTACAGGTGAGGGTTGCGGGGAGACATGGGAAGGGGTATGGAGAGAAGCGGAAATAGAAGGGACGGAGAAGAAGGTGGGACGCTGGTAACTACAGGTGAGGCTTGAGGAGGTGGGAAGAGGGTGGGGGTGGGAAGGGGGTGGAGGAGGAAGGCGAAGGAGAGGAAAGGGGAAGGCCGGGATAAAGAGAATCGTGGGCCAGGAGGGAATCAGGGGGAGCTGAATGTGTTCCCTCCCGAACCTCTCTCCACTTGAATTTAACCCTTCAGACGCACATCACAGTTTCTTATTTGAACCTCTTTCCTTGTTTCCGTTTGCAAATTCTTCTCCTGAATCCCCACCTAACCAGCGTCCTGGTCCAATCAGAGTGCGACACGTTGAATTTTGCTCCCAATTACTTGGAGCGAGTCAGCACCACGGGATCACATGTCATGGCACAGTGGAACCTCACTGTCCTTCCACACACCCAACCAGCTACCGAACCAGCCACTGAATCAGCTACCGCTACTTCTGCTGTGTCCCAAGTCAGCAGCACATTTCCACAGAATGCAATGGACGGCCCAGATTCGCCCTGCGTCCATTCCATCAACGGCCGCTGGCTGCTCAATGAACAGACGCAAAACTACACGTGGCAGCTCTACCCCTGCGCACACCCCCTCCCTCCCACTTCCCAATGGGTCCTCCGCCCTCCAATCCCGGGGCATTTCCGAAATCAACTTTGTGGGGGACTCTCACGTGCGATTCCTCTTCCACCACCTCTACTTTCTCCTCACTGGCAAGGCCAATGCTTCCACTTTTCAGTACCATTGGGACATTCAGTTGGTCGTGCCGCCCCCTAGCCCGGAGCTGCAGCCTCTGAAGCTCAACTTTTATTGGATCGGAGGGATGTTTGTCAACGGGTCTTTTGGCTGCAGGTAAACCGTGGTTGTTTATGTCTGCTTCTTTCTAATCCGTTGTGTTTATCCTTTCGTGATTGAGACAATTTCTTGTTTAAGGCCGGATAAAGGAGAGTATCTCGCTCTAAACACACTCCATCTGCCTTCTCTTCCCACCATTTCCTGTTATTTTCCCCTCGTTATTGTCACCATGCAGGAATGAGAACATCACGTCATTTCAAATGCTCCAGTTCCCAAACATCTCCACAACAGCCCATGTGACTCTCTTAGATGGGGGTTACTGGACAACCTTTTTCTGTGATGAGCCTGAGAACGCCTTTGGGTACTATCTTCCTAACTTCCTGCAGTGGTTTTACTCCAGAATAGAATTGATTCAGTTGGAGCATCAACGGCAGCAGCAGCAGCAGCAGCAGCAGCAGCAGCAACAGCAGCAGCAGCAGCAGCAGCAGCAGCAGCAGCAGCAGCAGCAGCAGCAGCAGCAACAGCAGCAACAGCAGCAGCTCCAGGGGCAGGTTGAAACTCAGAGGCTGCCCGACAAAGGCCCTTGGTTTCTGTACCGAACCATCCCCCCAAAACGGCTTAACGAGTTCTGTGATAAGGGAACAAACACCCTCATTTCACACTTGAACGAAGTTATAGCCGGGCATTTAGGACGTTACGGACTGTCTCTTCTCAACGACTGGCTAATTGCTGCCCCTAGGCCTGATGACACTTGTAAGAATACGGATGTGCACTACAGTTGCTTTGCCGAAGCCGAGGAAGGCAAGAAGACTACGGAGGTTGAGGGAGAGTATTATGGGACTGTGGGAGAGGCGATGGTGTGGAATTTCATTTACCATTTATTGTATGAGCTAGATTGAGATAAATAGTACTAGCACCTAATGAAAACATTGATGGGTATAGCCCAAGTCATTGCAGCTCGATTTTACCGCTTGCAACCCAAATTGCAACCCTCTGCAAGCACGTGGCCATCAGGGCTAATTTTTGGTTTCCAGCAACCCTTGTGATCAGTGTTGCACAAGTCCAAAAACCTGATTATCAGTGTGACACCTTGTTCAAACCCTGATCCACCAGGGTTTTCCTAGTTTTTGAAAATTATACCCTGTAGGATCAGTGTACCAGTTTTGCAAACCCTAGTGTATTGATATTATCGTTGGCAGGCAATAACGAAAATGTATTTCTGGCCAATGGAGGCCCCCCTCGTGCCAGCTCAGAGATGTTGCCTTTGCCAAATTTCAGTTTCTACAGTCGGCATGCGAGAACCTCGATACGGGAAAGGGGGGGTGGGTAGAGAGGGGGTGGGGGGTGGGGCGGCTCGGGGAGGGTATGTACTCGATTCAGGGTAAAACTCGTTACAAAGATCGGTAACCCTGGGCCGTCAGTGTACCTCAAACGTAAACCCTGGCCTATCAGGAAAATACAAGCTCCCGAAAAAATTACCCTAAGGCATCAGTGTGACAGCCAAAAACCACCCTTATTATCAGGGTATCAGGGTGATTTACCCTGATAAAATTAGCCCTGGTGGCCATCCCCTCCGTGCTTACCGCCTTTCACCCCCTCAATTGGTGCGTTTCAAGTCCCCGTCCCCATTTCGCAACCTAGTTTCGTAGTACTGTACGCGTTCTTGCTGTTGGGAACAAATAAGTTAAGCGCCTCTGTCGTGTCGAAACTCAGGACACAAAGCGAAGAAGTCCAAATCGAAGCATCGCGAGTCAACCCTCGGAGGTTAGGGTAACCGCCTGGAGGTTACGCGAAGGTCAAAGGTCAGCGACATTTGACTTGACCAATACAGCGCGACAGCAAGGACACACAACTGACTGGACATTGAGCAGTTGCCCGAGTCGCACTGTATCGAATCGCAACAGCAAGGTAGTTTAATTACATCTAATTACATCTATTCGCATTCCTTGTACTCTTATGTAAAGCTTTGTATTTGCTTGTTTTAATCAACTTACTTTGCCCTCACATACGAGCGCAAGGTGGTTCAAGACTTTATTATTCAACGCTTCCGCTATTACATCATCCTACTCAAACTTTAACTCTACAAAGATCCTAGGGCTCCTCAGCCCAACATGGTATCAGAGCAGTTAGAGTTAAAATTCATTATTCAACACTCAGTACATCAAAGAAGACATTTCTGCTAGAAAGGAGAGGAGCTCCTCCAACGGCTCTCCCGGTACTACCCCTACTCCACCACCTGCCTCTGGCCTACTGACAGAGGAAGGGACAACGACGAGACCAGCAGCTGGGTCTACGGAAACACCCGCAAACCAAGGCGCGGGCTTCGATCCAAGTATGATGGAGAAATTCTTCTCCTTCATGTCCTTCTACGAGCAGCACCAGCAAGGAGTACCTGCGCAATCAAACAACAGCAACAACAACAACGTGACGCCTATGAGTCTCGATGGCTTATCCTACGCGCACGGGATTCAACAACAACAACAGCAGCCTACCTTTGCGCCGTACGAACCCCAGCGTGGCTCCGTCAGCTTCATGCCGCAACCGCAATCTGCACCAGGACAAGAAAGGGCATTGGACGCATTGCAAGTCCAGTCGCAATTCGCGCACGTCCTAAAGCTGCAAACGACAAAGCCTTTCGACGGCAAAGACTTCTTCACCTGGTCGTTCGAGTTCGAATTGATGATGGAAGGAGCACAGATTCTCGGCTTCTTCGACGGGTCCCTGCCATATCCAACAAACGGGACACAATATGAGAAGCAGCAGTACACCTATCAATCAATGATGGCGTACACGATACTGCTAAGAAACATCACCCCGACCCAGCAGCAGAACATCAGAACCTACCGAGGCTACGGCAACTCCGCGGAGCTCGCGTACAACCACTTGAAGAACCTGTATCAAGCAACAGACAGCGTAAATCAAAGCAGGTTAATGGCGCAGCTGACAACGATTGAAATGAAACCAGGCGAGAAAGGCATGGCTTATATCGGCCGCTGCCGCAAACTGCGCGACAAGCTTCTTCGATGCGGAGGGTCAATTTCAGAAGACGCCTTTGTCACGGTGGTCATCGGCGGTCTCTGCCCCCACTGGCGCTCCACTCGCGCCATATTACGAGCACACGGGAGGATCTCCGAAGCGGCACTCTGCGCCGAAATCCACGCCGAGCAGCAGGACATGGACCTGCAAGAAGAAAGACACAAGAAGAAAATATTAGCACCGGAGTTTGCATTTCACACTCAACGACGATACAACGGCAACAACAATCGACAACAGCAACAAGTGAAGATGGTACCTCCGTTTTGTCACATCTGCAAGACCTCGGGTCATCCTCGCACACACTGCCCGTCCCGTCAGCAGTCGACGACACCACAGCGACAACTCCGACCTTCAAGTTCCCAAGTTGCCTCAACGCAAGCAAATCCGACGACCACAATCCAAACTTCAACGACTTCAACTGGACAACCTGCACAAGGAGCAAGAAATATTGTCAATTGCATGGTAAAGATAACCGATTCCTGCACAACAGAATCACCACCCCACTACTCACCGGAAGAAGAGCTCGATAACAGGACGCCTCGCCGCGAGTCACTCCAACCGAATCCGACATACGCCGCCATTGCTCAAAGCGAACCGTCCGGCCAAGACAGTTGGTTCTTGGACAGTTGCTGCGGACAACATATGTGCTCCTCCGGGCGCTTCGTTCAACGCGAGCATCGACTCCAGCGAGAAGTAGTCATCACGGTCGCCAACGATCAGAACCTGCGCACACGACGACAAGGAGTGGTACAGCTTCAGTCACGAGAGACAAATGTCATATTACACATGTCAAAGGTACTCATCGCAGAGGGACTCGGCTATAACTTACTGAGTGTCAGCCAGTTGATGGCGAAGGGCATCCACCTGGAAGCCGACAGCACCACCCAGGAAGTTAAATTATATCACGGGAAAGGCGGCCTTTACATCGGGAAGGCAGTTCTGAAGAACAACTTCTTCGTCCTGGACTTCGTCCCGGACCTGGGCACCGCAGACAGCGACGCTATTGTTAACTTCACGGACTGGACGCACCCTCCAGACCTTGATCCAGACTTCAGCCCGGGAGGCTTCTGGTACTCGCACACCATACCTGAAGCAGAACGAACACGCGCATTAGGAACAATACAACACTCGACAGCAAAAGAGACATCATCGGCAGCAGCAGAAACAACAACAACAGCAGCATAGACATCATCGGCAGCAGCAGAAAAACAACGACAGCAGTAGAGACATCATCGGCAGCAGTAGAGACAACATCGGCAGCAACAGCAGGAACAACGACACCAGTCCTCGTCGACGAAGAACCACCAACACCCGCACAGCAGTTGAAACCAACTCAACGAGAAGTCCACAGAAGCGCACACTTCGTCGCCAGCTTCTACTCCAACTCCGACGCGTATCAACGCTCACCCGGACACCGCGCTCCTGAAGACATATGGCACGCACGCACAGGATACCAAGCAACACAGTGTTAAATAACACAATTCGAGCAGGAGTTCTAGACAAGGACTCGCTACTACTACCCGACGGCAGAGAACTTCAACGTGCACGAGGAACTTGCCTTATCTGCCCCGAAGCCGACTTACCCCATCGACCGTTTTCTTCTCACCACAACCCAAGCGCACCTACATACGCACCACTCGAGAAGATGTACAGCGACATCCTCTACAATCGCGAACCAGGACAAGTCACCTACAACTATAAGATTACCTTCATCGACGCCGCCACTCGATATGTCTGGCATCTAAACCTACCAAGCCGCGACATGGCACTCGCAGCGTTCGCCGCCTGGCTACCAGTAGCAGAACGAGAGTCGGGAGCACAGCTGAAAAGCTTCCAGTCAGACGGAGGAGGAGAATACACCTCTCAGCGCTTCAAACAGTACCTGGCGGAAAGAGGAATCAAGCAACTCCTCTCCCTTCCCTACGCCCATCAGCAACAAGGTGTCGTAGAAAGAATGAACAAGACTCTGCAGAACAGCATGCGCAAACTGCTACGTGGCATGCGGCTACCCAACCACCAGTGGCCTGCAGCAATGGACCATCCTGTCATGCTGCACAACTTGCTGTCGTCGTCGTCACTCCCGAACAACGCATTACCGCACCTGCTGTGGACAGGGAAGCAGGGCAGCACAAAAATGTTACGAGTTTTCGGGTGCATGGTACAGTACCGACCCCAGAAGCACGAGCGGGAAGATTTTCACAACGGGCACAGTGGGGACTACACCTCGGCATCGAGAAAAATTACAACGCGTGGAAAATCTTCGACGTCCATTCAAAGGAAACAGTAGCAGCACGTGATGTGATCTTCTACGAGCGACTCACCCTTCAAACGTATCTCGCCAACTTGCACGAGAATCAAAACCCCACAGGTGGCTTTCGTGGTGACCGAGCCTTCGCCTCAGCAGCGGACGAAGCAAACTGGGATGAACAGAACGTCGACAACGCATCGGAAGAAGCCGGACCTCTCCCGTTCTGCTCTGTCAACGTGCCCATGGACGAAGAAAATCCTCGCGACAGTGCC